AATAAATCATAACTAAATTTATGCTATTTTTAAGTTAAAATTGTTACACGAACTCTACAGTTTAAGGGATAAATATTATTGTAAGTATTTTTAGCTAAAATTGCTATACACGCTAAGAATACTTAACAATATAATTCGATAATATCATCTATATCCACTTCAGATGAATTATCTTTTTTATCTTCCTGTAGCTTCGATAACGCCTGATAACGTGTAAATTCTAGACCAGCTATCCTATGCCATATATTCCGCAAACTGGTTAGTATACCACACTCATTTTCTAGATTATACGATAACATATATCTTTCTAAGTTCATAGCTTTTGATTTGTACTTGCCAGTCTTAGTAACTAATCTATACATTTCTTCTTTACACCCCATATCATTCTGGAAAAGTTCTGTAAGTAATGTTGTTAGTTTTAAGCGGATAGATTCTTCTTACTTATTTAATGCATTGAGGAAGGAAGTCCAATATGACTTATTTCCTAAGTATTTTTCTATGCTATTAGTATAAGTAGTATCATATAAATTTTTCGCATAAATATTAGCTTCTTCCCATAGATGGGATATGATAGTCTTATCTTTTTTTGGGCCATCATGTATGTCTTTGATATACCCTTTTTCAGCTGATTTCTGTGCTAAGGCATCTTTCATATTTGATATCTCGTCTTTATCCAAATCTTTGCCATCTTTCGATTTTTCTACAGATTCAGATGATGGCTGGTATCTATCATCATAATTTATAAAACGTGCACAGAGGCCAGCAACACTTTTCAGATAATAGTTAATATCGATCCTTTTACCTAATCGCCTTACTACCTCTGGATACTCCATTTTATCTCCTATCCTCTGTGATGAATCATTCTCAACTACAATATACTCAAAGCGCTCGCCTGGTTCTGGAATTTGGTAAAGATAAGGTTCTGATGTCAAGCCCTTTTTTATAAGTCATTGGTCTTCAGCTTTTTCACGAATATGCCTATCTTGCATTCGTGAAATAAAGCATTGAACAGATTTGTTATCTTTATCGGGCTTCTACACACAAGTTTGAACTAATTCATGTTTATCTGAGAAATATCATTTACGGTTTTTTTGAGTACTTCCTCCACAATCTGATACAAAGTACGTGAATTGTTCATCTTCATAGATTCATCTATAATATCCTTTCCTATTTTGCGGAAAAGAGTAGAATGCCCTCATTTTACAGTCTCTACTCCCCGAATGAAAAGCTTTTTATTAAAGTTCGGCTTGCTTTCATATAGAATACCATAGTATTTTTTCTTTCCAGTAAATACTACCGGAAATAAAACTTCCTCATATACCATTTTAAGATAAGTCAATCCATTATCTTTTCTAAGAAAGTCATTAACTTCGTCACGGAGTTTCTCCATTACTTCCATAGAGATGTTCACTATTCTAGACCAATATTCTTCTTTCGAGATCCCATTTCCACTGTCATATGTCTCATCACATTCCTGAAAGCATTTTTCTAGACAGACAAGATATAAGGAATCGTATCCCCATATTTTATCCAGAAGCTCTTACTTTTAACGAAATCTGTGACAAGTTTGATATTTTTCTGTCCAGCTAATGTGACACCCCCAGCAAGTTCACGCAAGAAGAAAGGGGATATGCTATTTCCAGCCTCACTATAGAATGTATTTATATATACCTTAAGAGCATTTTGTTTCGCATCTAAGCAAAGAAACTAAATCATATTCTGCTATAAATTCATGTTTTTCTTTATTAATAAAATGATATAGATTTTTGCTAAGGCTGGCATGTTGTTTTCCCTTTGCATTTGCTAAAACTTGCTCGATAGCTTCTGGTAATGACAAGCCTTTACCCATTTTATCTATTACCAGTTCCATGTCTTCCTTTTTATATTTCAAGGGTGTGAGAGATTTTTTTATCTCAACCCGTTTACTATATAAATACTTTAGCACACTGACATAGAGACCCTTTTCTTCAGGAATGTTATGATGCTGAATAGACCATGCAAGAATATCTTGACCATTGAATTTAAAACTAATTTCATAAAGCTTTTTACCACTTTGTTTAGCATGCTCTCGAGATAAAATAATTTTATCGGGTGAGAGATTATATGTCATAATAAGATTTGGATATAGCGATGCAAAGTCTAAGCCAGTTACAGGATGTTTATTTTCGAGGCCTTTTATTGGTGGGAAGACATAAGCTCTGGGATATTTTTCAGTTCCAGTTTTCTCTTTTGAGATTGTACTGGATAGAACCCCTCTTTGCCATGCGCTAGCACTTAAAAGGTTGCAAACCTTCATCCCCCGCAAAATAATGTGCATTGAATAATGATAAAAAGGCTAGAGTTACTAGCTCCCTATATTCATTGATTACATTGCGCTTGACCATTAACCGCTGACAGCTAAAAGCGTCGATAATGCAGTATTTGGCCACTTCGCGCATCTGCTCAGCCGTTGTGGCATTTGTTTTTTTTAATGCTTTTCATAATACTTGTTTATATAATAAATGGGTAGGTTCACTTTGTTGTCAAGTTCACACTCCCTTAAGTAAAATGTGAGACTACTTTTTTCAGCTTTAGATAGAATCTCTTAAAACAGGGCCAGACATCAATAGCTACACAGCCGGGAATTTTAAGATGTTTCGAATAAAATTTTCCATCATTTATTTTTATCATATTATACCGATATTCCCATTTTATAATTTTTTCAAGGCTTGATGGCTTGAATGATATATGATTGAACATCCATTCGAAAACCTCTAATTTATTGGCCTTCTCCACAATAAATTTCTAGTCGTATTGTGAATCATTAAAGCCTATTTGTATATTTGGAGCTAAGAGTTTCCAACACAATGCAAATGCTTTTAGTAAATTGGTCTGGGATCCACATACGATTGTAATCCATTGTGGGTCTGGAGTGGTTTCAACATCAACAAGACAAATTTGTTTTAACAGTTTGGGATCATCTTTCCAATGAACTGTCATACAAATCATGAATACAACATCTTCTTCATATTTTGCATTAGGTACCTCACCTGTTTTTCGTGAGCTATATATTTCAATATCCCACGTGAGAACAAGGGTGCGATCCCGTAAAAGCACTGAGGAAAATAATGGATTGTTATAATCGTCTTCACTTATTGGATTGTAATTATTCACAGATGCTTGGAAGAGATAAGTACCACCCTGAATGTATTCGTATAAATAATTACTTAATACTGCCCAACTCGAAAGAGGTAATCTTTCTTCATGGGCTACTTTGTGGTAATAATACTGGCAATTTAGATCATCTGAAGCTGTACACATACCAACAGCACGGACTGCTTTTAATGCATTATACTGGTCATAGTGGTTCCATGTTCTCACACGGATATATGGTTTCTTTTCTATATAGTACTCTTGAAGTAGTGTTATAGAACGAATTTATTATTAGTTTATTATTTATTAATTATCTTAGAATATTATTATTATCTTGTATTATTATTAACATGTCGCTTAGTCGCTTAATCG